ATTTTTATGACATTAATAATTTTTAAATCAAAAATTTTTTACTATAAACTTTCGCTGGTAAAAAAAAAATCGGCAATTATTTATGGCCAAAAAAAAAATCTAAAAAATAGTTTAAATTAAATAAAAAATTTTTTTTTTTTTTTCAAATTTTAAAATTTAAAAATTGAAAAAAAAATTTTATTAAAAGTTAAAAATAAAAATAAAAACTAGATCCAAGACAATAAAATTTCTCAAAATAATTTTCTTAATTCAAAATTCTTTATCTTTAATCAAGTTAATTTTTCTAACATACCCTTAGTTTATTTCAAATAAAAGAGTAAAAAGAAAACCTAACAACCCTTTTTAACTTCCAACCGATAATTTTTTCAAATAAACGACAAACCCACTCTCAAAAAAAAAAAATGACTTGTAACGATGACTTTACCAAAATTAGTCAATCTTTTAAAGTCTATTCGATTAACCTTATTGACAAGGGTTAAAATCAGTCTTAGTAAATTTGTTTTCCCATAAAGGTACGCTGGGTACACACCACCGTGAAATATAAAACGCGGTATAAATAGTGGATTGTGTAGATAAGATGAGAAACATTCTGGCGTGGTGAATCTTGGATTACCGTACCGAATGTTTTGAGTTAAACTCCCCTCGGGATTGGCTAAGCTGATGTTTGTTTAGCCAACGAACAGTACGGATGATATGAGCATTATATTTTACTATACAGTCTATGGGTATTATAGGAGGATATGTAAAGTACATAACAGGCAAAATGACGATGACGGTGACTCATAAAGATTGTTCCGCCATCACTTACGCGGTACCTTTCTACATATATGTCGACTACGACATATTCATATTATATTATATTATATCAGGTTTGGTTTTTTTTTTTATATAATATTTGTGATGATGGATTCCTCCTTTAAATTTTTTTAACTAATCTAATATTATTAAAGCTATCGTTGTTCATAAAAAAATCATTTTAACAATAGAAAAATATAGAACTGTTGGATATAATGAAAATATTGGAGACTTGACTCAGCGAACTAATTGAAAACTGTTCTATAATTCGACTATAATAAATGTAAAAAAAGAAACAATTTTTTTAATAAAATAAACTAAATAGTTTAAATTGAATTGAACATATCACCAGAGAGCAAAGAGTATTAATACCGCTAAAAGTGTCTGGATATCATCAAGCATTAAAGTGAAATATAATACCCCGGTATTCTTATCTTTGCATGTCACCAGTTCCATCCCTTCACATCACATTACATCCGACGAGTACCAACTACTCAATCAATACGCACCACCCTATCGTATAAGTACACACTCGATAATTTAAGCATGACAAGGCACCATTTTTTACCTCGAGTGTCACGCGAAAACGCGAATCAACTTAACAAAAAAAAGAAAAAATAATGTACTTTTCAGTTTCATTTCTTCGCGGGGAGGCTAATGACGTTGAACGGCTCTAGTGTGGGGGTGGACAGAACTGGGGGCGTAAACGGGAAATCCAACGATATAAATAAGTATAAAGGGAATTTGAACGTACAAAAGGGCTAGACATATCATACGAAGATTGGTCGAAAAGGACACCAGGAGCAGTGATTCTACATGGTTTATGGTTTTATAATGTGAAAGGTTGACCAAGGGTCCAACGACTTCTATTATATATTTCACTCTACACTTTTTGGTACATATCAAGTTCAAGTAACACATGGGCAATAGCCTCGGTCAGTGTACTGTATACATTCCCCGCTTAGCTATTGTTATTATATATTTATACTTTACTTCTATTCTATTAAATTCTCCGGAATATTATACGCAGAAAGGGTCACATCACTCATATCTATCTATGTGGTACTCGCGTTTTTTGTGTCCACCACAGACTGTGTAATGACCCGTCTCGGTACCCACTTTACCCTATATATACTATATTATCGATGGAATCTATATTAGGTATTATTTCAAGGGTTCAAATTTAATTTTTTTTCTTAACTTGGTAGATTAAGTTTGCGATATTTTACACACTAATACAGATATCTAGTTGATTGAAAAAATTAGTTTAAGAAATTTTTTACGGTCCAAAATTTGTTTATAGATAGATGTAAGAATTTATGTAATGTTAATAAATTAATTTATTTGAATACAAATCGTTTATTTATTGAATTTAAATATATATATATTTCTTTACTACACTGAAAAAAAATTTACTTGAATCAAAAGAAAATTTTTTGAACCAAGAAAATAATTTTGAAGAGTTTTATTGATTTGAATCAAGACGAAAAATTCTTAAATCAAGAAACATTTATTTAAACCAAGAAAAATTTCTTAGTTTGAGAATTTTTTTACTGAGATCAAGAAGATAAAATTCTTCAAAATTATTTACTTGATTCAAGTTAATTTTTTTTCCTGTGTATCAATAAATACTTTTTTAGAAAAGAAAAGTACATCTACTAATAGTTAATAAATATTTATTAAAAATAAATATTTTATTTCATTTTAATTTTTAATAAATTTATTAAAAATTTTCAGGTCAAAAATTTTTATAGTAGTGTAAAAATTACATTTTAAAAAATCTAAATTTAACAGATTTTTTTTAATTTTGAAAAAACTTTGTCTTCCGTAAACTTTTCAAATTAATCTTGAGGGTAGAAAAAAAAATTTTTTTTCTCAAACATGCTAAAAAAAATCTTGTAAGAAATTAATTCCAACTTCTGATCCTGTCTCTCCATGCAACAATTTTTACTGAAATAAATTCTATAAAATTTTTTCGTTCTCTTTATTTTTGCGACGAGTGTAGAGAATAGTCCGACAGCAAAATTTTTAGTAGAACATGGACAAAGTTTGTTTCAACAGGTGCTCTCAAGGTAAGTTTAAGTTTACAAAGACAGTATTCTTCAGAGTAGTATAAAATATAAAACAAGTAAAGATTGTATAGTAAGCAAAGCACGCATTGGGCACAAGAGAACCAGAAGCAAGCACTCGTGAGCTTGAAGACTCTTCTGGCATGCACAATCCACTCACTTTACAAAAGCGTACCCGTATATTTCGCCTTTCCTCGGTGCAGAGTACTGCTCAAGCATCATAACTGCTCGTAGCTTCTTTATTTTTCCACATACACATCCAACCTCTGCATCTCCGAGAGATCCAATCTCTAAATGTCTGTATTTATATTTTTACACATGCATACTTTGTACAAGTATGTTATTGTCAGCTTGCAAGTAGAATACAACAAGTGCCGAAGAAGCGTGCGCGAGTGTCTAGGTAACGCTCCTGCTTCACGTGAGGATTCTTTTGACCGTGGCCACTTGAACTGGGCTATTGTCCTCTTGGTGCTTGTATTATATCTCATATAATACTCATCTGAGGTGTTTTGGTAAGCGCTCACCCGGTTAGGCCCTCTTTGCGGCTAATTCCGTCGGCAAACATGCTGGTCATTAGACTTAATATTTTAGCGCTTGTACTTTGTATTTTGTATTATCAAGCTGTGATTCTTGAGATTGCTGGTTAAGCACCTCCTTGTTATGTGGTTTTATTTCAATTTAATCTTTTTTGGACACTTATTTACACATCGCGGATTATCACTTGTCCATTTATACAATAACATTTGTATTTCATGCTGGTCATTATTGTTTTTGAATAAAAAATACTAGATAAAAAAAATATTTGAAAATTATGATCCCAAAATCCGAAATTTTTTTGGTTTTCAATGAAGAAAGTTTTATAAATAAAAATTCATTATAAATTATGTTTTTTTTATTATTGAAAATTTACAGATTATTAAATGCAATTTTTCTTGAAAAAATCCCAAAATTATAATTTATTTATTTTTCACAAAATTTTAAAACTATAAAATATTTATAGTTAGTGATGAAATTTCGGTGCCTTTAACCATCAAAAAATTTATTTTTTTAAGAAAAGTGAAAATAAGTTTAAGAGTTATTAAAATGTCAGTGTCGGCTAAATATAATTTTCATCTGTATACATTTGACAAGAAAATAGAAGTTATGTTACACAAAAATAACACCATCTCCCACGTTGTTTAGTGTCTTATAAATTTAACATGTTTACCTATCAGTTTATCAATAAAATATAACAAAAAAAAAAAGATTGTTATGAACACATTTAAATCGCTATTTACACAAAAATTTCTTGTTAATGTTGGGAAAAAAATACAATTTGATATATATTCACCAAAAATGTGATGGGTATGTCACGACAAAATCAATCACAATAAAAAATCTGGCAGATAAAGCAATTTATTGTGAAAACAGCGGTACCTTTTAGAAATAGTTTAACTTGTGTGAAGATTGTGGATGATGGAGGCAAAAGAATAAGAAGAAGTTATAAGTTATAAGTTATAAGGTAAAACGGTTTCACCCCTCGTTCAAAAGTGACAGATGCACATTTTTTATCTTAGTTTTAGGTTTTGGTTTATTTTCTTTGTGGATACGACGGATATATTATATAGCCTCGCCATCAGGGGTGACTAAATGACATTGCAAACCCTTCTTCTTCCCGCCCTCTCCCTCTCAACTAAAAAAGTATAAAATGAAATAATGCACGGATTTTCACTCGATATAATTTATATTTCTAAGTGTAATACGATACCGGCTTTTACGGTTTCTGTTTTTTATATTCGAGTGGTCATCTGTCCATTTTTTAAACTTACATTTTACATTACCCTTCTTCTGGCTCTTTCTGGAACACATAAATCTTTTTTTGGGGTATAGAATTTTTCAGTTAAATTAAAAAAGGCCATTCGGCTGCAAAAATAAAAGTAGATTTCTCGAAGCTGCAAAAAAATTTCTGAAGTTCAAAAGTAAAATTTCATTAAATAAGAGAAAAAAAAGATAATAATTGATCTAAAGAAATTTGATAAAGTTTTATTTTAAAAAAACTGCATCAATTTCTACAAGAAACATTTTTTGATAAATTCTCGCTGTAATAATTCATTTGTTAAAAAATCCTGGAAATTGAAAAAAAGAAAAAAATTCAATTTAATGAATTGATGAATTGTTATTCTTGAGGAAAATTTTTTTGAATCTGACGAGGTTTGAAATGGTTGTCATCATGAAATCTGAGTTAGAACAGCGGTCAATTCTATTTATAGGTGTTGATACCACTCCAATCAAATATTTTTCATTTGACTCTGGTTTTCCGTAACAGAATAAATTACCTCCCTCATGCCCCTAGAAAATAATAGAGGGATTATTATTGACAATGCAAATAATCATAATTCAAAAAATGAGAAAATTGGCACAATGTCAATTTTAATAAAAAAAACTTACTAAAAAGTCCCGATCAAAACAATAAATATTGCTGTCGCTTCCGTGTCTATCGTCGAAAAAGAGTATTTCACATATAGAGATCGTAATATTTCCGCTATCATTATCATAAAAGGGTATATAACAGTTAGTTGTATCGATTTCCTCCATAGATGAATACAGCATTACATATTTTTGCTTATATTTAGAATCGATCGGATCAGTGTGTACTATCGCTACTTTAACTTCTTTTTGGTCTTCGGCGAAATTTATATCGTTGGCCTTGACTTTGAGAATTTCAATATTATTTTGACTGTTGATAGATGTTTTCACAACGTACATTTCTTTATTTTTTTTATTATAATCAGAACTGCAATATAATATGATATACTAGTGAATTAATAGATGTTGTTTAAATATTAAGAAATAATTAAGTGAATAAATTTACTTCTTTACACAGAGAGAGTCAGTGACGAATATTTGGGGTGCGACGTATACACCTGGGCAGACAATTAGTTCATCTCCTAGTTGAATTTGTAGCTCCCATCCGTATAACATAGGTTCGCGTTCGTTAGGTTCTCTACTTGACATAGTGATTTCGCGGGTATTTACTGATATCACGGAGTAAATTACTACGATTAGCAATTTTAGAATCATTTTTCTTTAAACAAAAATTAATGTGTTTGTTTTAGTTTTTAAAGTTGAAACTAAGGAAAAGTCAAAGACAACCAGTTATTATATATTCGAAAATAGTAATAAAGATTTTATTTTTTTGCTCTTCAAACGACCTTCTTGCTATCAATTTGTCGATGTGGAGGACGAATTTTAATGGTTACTTTTGGTGACTCGCATCTATCGATTGCTTTGTTCATGTTTTTTTTTTATTTATATTATTTTTTTTTATTGACAATAACTTACTATCCAAGTCATAAAAAATTATCAGTGTGGAGTTTTTTTGCGCGTTGGTAAGAAAAAATAGTTACATAGAAAAAAATAGTTTATATATTATTTTAAATATAATTTGTATCATGATTTTGTCAGTTTTAATTCAAAATTTTTACATCCTGCAAGATTTTTAGCAGTGAAATAGATGAGAATTTTTATTTATTACAAAAAAATAATGTGAATAGAAAATTTGAAGGAAATTTAATTTTCCATAAAATTACATTCCACGATTATATCGCTAAAATGCTTAGTTTCGAAGATATAAGCAATTGAATATTTAATATCAGGAAAAATTGTATTTTGTCGAATTTCATTTTTTGAGGAACAAAATTTTAAGTATGCATTTTTTCAAAATTTTGAATTGTAATTTTTTAGCTAAGTAAAATTCACTCTCACTAAGAACAATTTTTTAATCAAAAAATTTTTCCACTCGCTTCAAAATTTCTTTTATTGAAAAACCTTTTTTTATTACCACATGCATAAACTATTAAACCAAACGCATTTTCTGACGTAACTCGGAAGGCTAAATCAGAAAGTAGCAAAATTTTTTACAAGTTTCGTCATGGTTGACAAATCTAATAATTGTATTAAATTTCCATAAAATCTTGTAGGAAAATAAAATTAAAAAAAGAAATTAAACATATCAATGAAATGGCTTGAAAGAAAAGAACCCTTGAATTTTTTTGTTATAAAAGAATTGAAGCCAGGCCATGAAATGACAAAAGTAAAGTTGAGTGTCTACACACAACTACAGCGAGAGTAAGTCAGTTGCCGAATACAAGAATGAAATAGAAGTTGAAGTGTAATTGGCACTGAAGAGTGGCACTCGTCTTTTGGTTCATTAGAGAAAATATCTTCCCTATTGTCGAGGGCTTATACCAAACCCGTGTTGCCGTACAACTGAACCTTGTTCGCCGAGGACAGAATTATTTTTGTTTCGAGTGGATACGGTCACTCGATGCCCCGGTTCGTCAACAACGTAACCAGGGAACAGGAGGAAAAAAATAAATAAAGTTCTGGGAAAAAAGAGGGACTCGATCTGCTGCTTCTCTCGTCGTCCTTTCTGTTTCACTCAGAACCACACGCTCGCCCGCGGCTTACTTCCAAATGTGGAAACTCAGGAAAGCTTGTAGATTGTGACAGTCTAATCTTCTCGAGTATCCACCAGAATAGACCCTGATTCTTGAGCGTACAACATCACCAAGAATTGACCCCAGTCGCCATCTTATTTTCCTTTTCTTTTATTTGTTTCACCCCTTGTCACTTTAATGCTTCATTGTCTCGAGCTTTGGTTCCACTTTTAATTAATGAAATTACTCAATAAGTGTCTTACTCTACATGGAGAAAATAATATAGTAATATTTATCATTCTACATGGTAACTATTAACTAGGCTTATTTTTTATAAAATTGTAAATTTTATTATGCAGAACAGAATCGATAAATTATTGATTTGAAAATTTTACATTTTTTATTCAAAGTTAATGAGATGAATAATTATTGTACTATTTCAATATTAAAAATTACAATAAAATTGAATGTTCTTACGATAATAACGGTAAAATTTACCGAATTCGTTGCTTCCCTAAAGTATCTAAAAATCTTGATCTAATATAAAAATTTATTGTATCACCAAGAATAGAATTTCAAGAAAAATTTTTACTTCGGCCAAAACAACTTCGGTCTTCCTTCAGGCACCCGACAAATTTTCTTGAGCCAAAAATTTTGTTCTTCAGTCGAGAAATTTTTCTTTCTGTGTAGTAATAATTTATCTAACTAAACAAACTTTTATACAATCATTATTGTAACAAAATTTTAGATAATAAGTTAGATATTACATATTTGTATGAATTTACTTTAAAAATATAAATTAAATTAAAAAAAATTAATTAAACATTTAATCTTATTAAATAAAAATTTAGTATTTCGTGATACAAATCTAATGATAATATTTTATCAATAATATATCCGATTCTCTATTTTTTATTCCATTATATTTGTGAATAATTATCAAAAAAATTGTTATTACATCAGAAAGCAAAGAATGTCTCACAGTATCTAACTGTAATTTCCTCAATAATTTTCAAGTAAATTTTCTCACTGAAAATTACTGTTGATACTTCCATCACTAAAAATGAAAATCAAAAAATTTCCAATTAACAAAATGAACTCAATAATGCAGGCACTGAGAAATGATAACGAGCGGTTTGGCATCCTCGGCATTCAGTTCGTCTTAATTTACCGTAGATTACGCAGATCACAATAAACCAACTTGATAGGGTCACTCGCTGGGTGCTTGGTTCCTACTACCTAAGCCTTGATTAACGGATTTAATTATAGGATTGCACGTGTATTGGTGTAGTGTAGTATATACTGGACTGTGTGTACTATATACAGACTGCGGAGATACTGAGCTAACGGTGGTCAAACAGAAGGGTGGCCGAGCGATCCCGAATTTCGGGGATGGGCGCCAGAACCAGAGCGAGTAAGACGGGCACTGCTGAGACTCAGATCGAGGGTTTCGTAGTCATTATGGTAAAGGACCACCAGATTCTGTCCACACTCCACACTCTACATCTCTACATTTACACTTACACCCACATTTATACTGGACCGTATTGCAGGGTCGTGGTAGCTGTATTAGGACAGACAACTACAGATTGTAGACGATCCAGATTCATAACGGGCAATCCACCTTAGTTTGGAGAGCATTATAACCCGATTCGGATCCAACTCTTCTGGGAGTATGGCTTTAAATTTGAGGATCAAGTTTGTTTCCTCCATACTTTACAAACTACCCTTTTACAAACTTTCCGCTCTAATATCATAATAATTGATGCTTTTAATTAAATAGATATTTTGTCTGGATCTTTGTTAAGCTGATGCAAATTGACTTTTGTAATAATTTGCGATGGAACGTAATTGGGATAGTTACTTTTTTAGTTTAAATATATTAATTAGAAAGTGTTATACATACTAATTTATAAATTTTTAGTTTTTTATTTTTATAATTCTTCAATTATTTCTCTTATTAAGGTAGAATTTTTAGAAACAAGCATTTGATGATTTGCAAAAAATTTTATTTTGTTTAAGAAATTTTTATTAATTTTTTTATCAGATTTATTTTCAAATTAATTTTTTTTTTTTTTAATTTACAAACATATATGGATCACACTCACATTCCATGCTTGTAAAGGTGGACTATCCTAGAAACTCCGCCGTCCATCTTACGGCATAGAACAAATTTTATTTTGTTTAAGAAATTTTTATTAAACTAGAAAATCGAGCGCGCTTTGTGCGCTTTTATAACAATGTTTATTATCGACAATTTAATTATTTAATATTTTGACAAATTTTAAGTTGCTATGGTAACCGTTGCCAAAGTGGTTACCATAGCAACGAAAAGCAACAATAATGAAAATGTCACATCAACTTTTTAATAAAGGATTAATTTTTTTAATTAAATTAATTAAAATTAATTTTCATACGTTTTCATTATTATAAAAAAAATTTTTTTTATCTACATGGAGAAATATCAAAAAACTATAGGTGCAATTTCTGTCAAATGTATCAATTATTTTTCATTAAATACTTGAACAGATAAAGACAAATTTTTTTGAATTTTTGACTGGAAAAATTTTGTTTTTCATTCTTAAGCTTAGAATATGCAAGCAAAATAATTAACAAAGACAATATTTTTACAATTAATTTAATCCTGTTCAATATTATATTACATTTCAACATAACTGATACAGTTTGAATAGTCAAAGTTATTTTGTTATACTTTGAAAGGTAACAATACTTATTTAATGTCCATGAAGCATTAATTGTTATTGGTATTAATTTAATTAGAGTCGAATTGATTTGAAAATAAACCTGAGTGGTGTAATTAATTCTTTTGACGTCGAGATTAAGTGACAAAAGCAATCGGTCAAAAGAATACAGCCCGTAGCGTGGAATGCGAATCAAGTATCAGAGAAAGCGGAAAGCTCACAAACCATTAAGGTCTCGACATCATTTGTTATATGAAGACACGTTCGTACGCTCATAAAGGGACAAATGTACTTGGGAGCCGGGAAAATCTAAGCCAATACCAAATACGAGGATCCAGAATCCAGAATCGAGAGAGAGAGAGGACACTCGATCCGTCTGAAAGTAAGCGTATTAACGAATATAAGAGAATCAGTAGAGTGTTACCGAGGGTATTACGGACGGGAATCCTGAAAAAAGTGAAATGTTTATCTGGAGGATTACCCGACAATCTTATTCCATTTTCGATCTCTGATGTCACGACAAATTAAATTGTCAATCTAATGCACCCTAATTATTAATAGTGCCGTAATAACATGATTAATTGATTCTTTTAGTTCGGGACGGAAAAAGCTCAATTTAAGGTTGTCCATCAGTTATAGCGCTGAATTATGCAAACAGCGATGCTCAATGGTCGACGGTAAATTAAATTAACTGGCGATTTAACGATAGTGAGTGAAAAGGAAGCACGAAATATCTCAGACGAAATTCCGAGCACTCGCGTTAGTGTCCCTTGAGACGAATAAGACGGAGAAAATCACGGTAAATCTAACGTTATGTAAATTTAGTGGTCAGTTTCCGGTCGAGTTTAGCATATGAATGCAAGAGAAATGCGTCCAAGACAACTTACGATGGATATATAAAGCCCTCAAGATGATGCTAATCGAGAAGTTGCCTCTATTC